GTATCAATTTGCTTATTTAAAATGGAACATGATATATATTGTTACATTTTTCAATTCTACTCCAAATGTTTAATATATTTCGTGTATAATATCCTATACCTAAGTCTAACTGTTTTTGCAATATTTGAAATGTTATGTAAAAAATGACAGTTGCAGTCACTCGAATAATTATTCATATTTCCGATAAGGGAATATGTGCTACTTAATTTAGGTCGCATTTATTGTTGAAAAAGACTTACCTTAATGGAATTCCGAGAACATTTTGAAAATTGTTAATACAAAGTGTTATAAAAAATAAGTTTTAAAATACAGTTGAGAAAACCGCCCAAAATCAATTTTTTCAAATGGAAACCCCCATTTTTGACAATTTTGCCATATTCAATATTAAAAATAAGGGTAGCTTTGTGTAAAGTTGTCTATTCCAAAATTAGTTAGTTTTCGAAATATTGTCAATTTAATGTTTTTATATAGCTATTTTGCCCTCAACTCATTTTAAATTGTGCCACTCTTAGTTGCCATGACGAAAGTGGTCATTTTTAATAAAATCAAATGCCATAAGAATGCTGACAGCATTTAAATTACCTTTTGAAAATAATGAATAATTATACCCGGACGCTTAAATTATACAAACTTATTTATTAGTTATGGAGGTGTAGCGCGTTCAATGTTTTTTTTTTGGTGTTATTGAAGAAAGACTATGACAGACGTCGGGTGCGTTGTTTTAATAAAAGGAATGAATGAAGTGGCAACATGTTTTCTTCTTGTAAAGTCTATTTGTCTCACAAGCATATCTGATTGGTTTGGAAGCTGCTGAGTCAGCCAGAAATTATGACCGAATAACTTTTGTTCCTTTATGTATTCAAGGGATGACAACATCATTTAAGTTAGTTTTTTGACCATCTTTGCCGACTGATTTTTCATGCAATCTGGTAGTAATTGAAAGGCAARCATTTGCCTTTTTGAGTTGTTGAAATATCGAAAACCCAGATGCTGTTCGAGTACAGTATGCGAGTACAGTATCGCATACWGTATGCGAGCCATGTTGAAGCGAGATAAATAAGAACTCATCAGTAAGCAGTAACCAAGTATTTTGAGCCCTTTCGTTCATGCGGCTTTACAACGTAAAATAATTTCTGCCAAGAAGGTCATAAACCAAATGGTAACTGCGCGTGGCCTTCATGAACTGCAATCCGAAGTCCGATATCTTAAAGGAGATTAAATGTGAAGTGTTCAAAGTGCCGCGTCGTAAGAGGCCAGGTGTCGCGGCACATAGACACAGAGCAACATCAACACACAAGTGTATTAAGACACAGTATTACCAGGCCTAGTCAACTGGACTTAGATGTGATCTGCAGTTCAAGCTTGATCGAGACTGGTACAACAGAAAATTTTCATTGAACCACGTTCACCGCTAAACTGTCGGTGAACTTAGTAAAGTACGCGGTATGAGATGACTGTAGATTAGAGGAAGTACTCACTATCTTTCTGTTACTTTATACAAAAACCCAGCAATCAAGTTATGAGCTTTCCAAGAAGAGTTTTATTCACGGTTAAAATCTTCATTTTGCGGGGAGTTATGTAACATATAACGAATGTGCTTACCAAGTTGGGTCGTATAGGTATCTTTACTATTTTATCTTCAAGAATTTTAAATAACATTTATCCAATCGCTTTAGGCACACCCTGTACTTTTAAAAGTAGCTGATCTAAACCTCCTGGACAGACTATATCGATTATAAAGAATTCTGTAGAATTAGACATTTATTGCCTACCTGTACTACTGTACCGGTGCAGTTCGCGTTATTAGCCCTCGAAAAACTTTCTAGTCTCCCTTTATCGCATTTAAAAGAGTAGAGGCTCCAGTCCGGTTCTCCAGTTACCACTATAATATTTTTGGAATTAAAAGTGAAATCCACTGCTACATAGCGAGTGGCTATAATGTCCTTATCAGTGGGTAATGTTAAGGTTCGCTTTTTTTTGTAAGTTTCTGAGCACCATAGAGTCACTATAGGATATTTGTCGGTGGTTTCGACAACAGCAATTAGTTTCCTGAAACAAAAAAAAAATTATAAATCTTCATTTTTTTATTTTTAAAATTGTGCAGTTTGTTGTACTAAAAGGACGAACTAGTTTTCCTAGCACGTATGTCATTTTTCAAACTTCAGAGTTCTGAAAATTCGTTCTGTGCAATAACAAAAATCAAATATATAGTCATATACAGGGTGATTTAAAATTGGCGTCATTCCTTCGGAGGTGTTGTCTGGGGGTGACGTGGGAGTGCAGAAAAAATAGTGAAGGAAACTAATTGTTATTAAAAATTGAGAAATTTCCCAAAAACTATATCAGAAATACGGTAGCAATATTTTTCAAGGTAATCTGCTTAATTAACATTGCGCAAATACCTGTTGCTTCGTAATTATTTAAAACTCCGGTAATCATGGAATTATACAGACTGACAATAAGATAGTCAAGGATAAACGGTAAATTGAACAAGATTTGTTGACTGCGGAACGTACTTTCGAAATGTCAACCTGTTCTCATAACCTCGAACACCAAACATTATAATGTTTAACTCTAAACAAGCTAGTGCCTGTGTAATCTCCTTATTATCCACTCTTATCAAGCAGCTTCTCGTATTCAGTTAATTAACTCCAGCTGCATTTGTATCTCCTTGTGCTGTGTGTATCGTACAAACGTGGTAGGAATTTACCCGGTATTTATTTGGTGCCTGGGAAAGTGTTAGTGGTTGCACAATGTTCTGAGTGACCCTGGAAGGCTCTGCTGCAATTATGTCCAATACTTGTTCCTTCGTGTCTGGAACCCGAACATCAATTGTCCACTATCTTCCTGGAACTCTCCCCCGTGTGGCCCTTTGTGGGCGTGAGTTCTTTCAGCTTCTGCTATGTTACTGTAGCATTTCACCTGAACTAATCGCATATCAGCAAATTCGTAAAAGAAAATTCAAAGTAAGTCACAGTTTGACAAATTATTGTTTTTACTGACAAAAGCTGTCTACCTGTAACTATCTGTTAATGCCAAAAACACCATTGCCGCTTTGACTTTCCATCAAAAAATTATAGAAGAGAACTTTTTTAATATCGAAAATGTTCGTAATTTGAAGCAAAGGTCGTAATTTTTCTTGTTGAATGCTTAAGTATTCAACATAATGCTTAATAGCAAAGTTGAAATTCGATCTTCAACTGTTAATATCTTCTAGAAATTTTTCTCGTACTCCCCAAGTGTGCCTCTATCACCCCTTAAAAGGAATGACGCCAATTTTGAATCACCCTGTATATATATCATCATAGTTGTGATTGCAATAACTATGTATTACAGTTTTTTGGGTTGTAGCCAATAGGGTCTTTGCACTTTTTCTTGTTTGCTCTTTTCGTTCATTTATGATAAACTGAATGTTCTACAATTTTTTTTCGATTTTACATTATTTTAAAGAAAGTTTTAAACTAATAAAAAAAAAGGACACGCTAGCACTTGCTGGCGGCTGACTTCACTACACCCGAGATTGGGGGTTCCCGTGGGGCCGGCGTTTACTTTTTTGTTCAAACCTACTACATAAATAATAAATAAGTTTAAATAATCTGCTTTGGTATAATTTAAGCGTCTGGCATGATTATTAATAATTTTTAAAAGGTAACTGACAGCTACTGACTACTACTGAAGTATTACCTTGACATTTGATAGTATTAAAAATGGTCACTTTCGTCATGGAAATAAGAATCACAGTAGATATTTAAAATAAGATGCGACAAAATAGCCAAATGAAACCAGTAAATTGACAATATTTCGTAACCTAAATAGCCTTCTTTTTAATACTGAATAAGATGAAATTATCACAAAGGAGGTTTCCATTTGAAAAAAAAATGATTTTGGACGGTTTTCTCAACGTCATTTGAATCTTATTTTTCCAAACAATTGTATTACCTAATAGATATCAAAATGTTGTAGAAATTATATTAACGTATTTAATTTTGCTCCCACGGTCTCCAATGGTGGAGACTCGGTTATGGTTTGGGTTAGAATATGTTTCGCGACACGAACTGACTTCATCAGTAATGGTGCGTTAAACTGAAATCATACGTGTTTTCACGAGAGCTCTTTTAAGGCCACGCCGTACATTTAACCCCATTAAGCGGAGATATCGGACTT